TATATTATTTTTCAAAGTGTCAGAAATGGATAACAAAACTGCTATTTTCAATGACTACTTATTTTTGTCCAGCTTTAACATCGGTATTGATATCGGTTATCAGCTACATGAGTTTTAAAATATCGGCATATCGGATATCGGCCAAAATCCCAATATCGTGCATCCCTAAGTATAACATATTACTTGCTTCAGGATATTGATCCTACCAGCTAGTGCAACAGGAAAAAAGAGCAAAGTGGACTTCTACCAATTTAAACGTCTCCAATGTGGAAAATGTAATCATTGTTTATGAAAATGCCGTTCTATTAAAATTAAAATCAGTTCAAAGTTTCTACTGTGTGGCTATTAACAGAGAAAGAAAAGGAAAGTAGGAGGTGGGATTGTTCTAAGACGATATAAGTCTTTGCCCCTCTTGGACTAGCCATCAGCTTAAACTAAAGAACCCAACTAATTGGATTTATCATCACACTAAACAAGATATATACTTCAGGTAAGATATAAACTGCTTATAATCTTGGAACGGAACATCACTTCAAAAATTCTTAACAACTCTGTTAAATAATTATTCTTTGTATTTGTGTAACTATTAAAGTAGTGGTTTATAACTTTGATAAAGATGACCTAACAGGGTAAACTCTATGCTGAGGTATTTACAGCATTTTTCAGAGATTACTACAGTATTTATACTGCTAAGGACCATTATGACTAAATGTTACACCAACAAGCTTAATCTAGTTTGACTTTAACTATGAACTATATTAAAGATATCTTTAAACAAAGTGAAAAAAAAGAAAGAAAATAGATACATAACCATGATATAACATGTCTATGTTTTTTAGGATTAAAGTGTTGTCTGTTCACCTGACCCCAAAACGTTTATTTATTTTCACTACAGGTTTAATCTGCAAAATCTTATCTGTTTCAGGTACCGTCTTGCCCCTGCTCACCATTTCCCTGTCCCATATGAGGATGTGTACCGTGTGGTCAAACATTTCCTCCAGAAGGGGGTGCTGGCCCAGTACTCTGTGGACCCAGAACGCATTGCTGTGTCAGGGGATAGTGCTGGAGGGAACCTTGCAGCTGCAGTTTCACAGCAGGTAATGGTTCTGCTTTTGCTTTATTGATTCAGACATTTCTTTGTAGGCTTAGGTTTAATTTCTCTGCATACAGATTTTAGGAAAGGCACAGGACAAGTGAAATAAAGAGATATTTGTGAAATTCCATACAGCTTATATGTATTATTGATGTCATGTATTTATGGCAGTCTATGAATGTATGGCATTTCAGTAATAAAATGATCAAACACAATAATTACAAGAGACAAAGTTTTTATGACCACAAGCAGTAAATAAAATGATGTAGTAATTTAATTAAATTAAATTAGATTTAATTAGTTGTCACATTACAGCCAGTTGGATAATTTGATAATAATTTTAAGATGATTCATATTTTTTCCAGGAAGCAATAAAAAAATAAAAATAATAAAAATATTCGACTGTTTTACTTGGAATGAACTCAAAGAGGACCCATACATCCAGTACAGTTTTTTATGAATCGGATTTTTTAAAAACGAGAGCTTACTAGTAACACTGCCAAGAAATACATTTATTTTAAACTACTAGCAATACAAAATAAATAAAATAAAATTTTTTATAAAAAAAGAAACATACAACAACAAATGATCTACCCACTACCACTAATGGGGAAATTTTAATCACAAGAAATGAAGGTTCATTAATCCGTCAGAGGCCGATAGAAAGGGACGTTATATTCTAATTCAAACTTTATTTTAAGAATTAACAACATTCTTTCATTCTTATCATTAAAGAAAGTTTGAAGCAAAGTGAGTACATTTTGCCAGTCATCACTTTCTCTTTTGCTAATGTTTTAGGATTGAGGTATAAAATTAAGTTTAGCTTAAGGTTAGGTATTCACTGGTAATGGTTAGGTTAAGTGTAATTAACAGGGTTAGAGTATAGGGACTGCTGAAACTGACAGAATATCGATGGAAATTAATGCATATGTGTGTGATGAATCATAAGCTGGGGGAGTTTGGGTATAAAATATGCATCTAGGAGTAACCCAGCAAGCACAAAAAGGATGTAGAAGTAAATCAAGATAAAATATAGAAATACATTACAATCAGCTTGACTAACGTTACCGGTATGTTTAATCTTTACCAACTGAACTACAAAGTATTCATTGACTTTATTCACCTACTGCTATTAATAATATGAAGGAAGTTTAACTTTGGTTCATGACTTATGAAAAAGATCAGACATAGTTCACTCTCTGTTAAACTGACAGGTATAAAGCTGTACCAGTGGATTTACAGGAAAACAAAGACACATGTTTATCAAAAAAGAACACAGAAAGAGCGAAAAAAAAAAGTAAATGAGGGGTATCTATGCTGCAAGTTATTCTTGGAAACAATAACATCGAGTAATAGATATTGTTGGAATCTCAAAATGTGATACTAACTAGATTATACTTATTGAATCACTCTACAAATTTCTTTGGAGATGTCTGTATTGAACAATACTATAAAACAATAAAAAGAAAAAGTATTTTCTTATTCATATCACCTCAGCAGACAGGGACACTGCTGTCTACCAACAGAAAAAGCTGACGCCGTAGGTTATTCCTGATCAGCCTCATCTCCATCTGTGCTTTATTGTAAGGATTTAATACTTCATCCCTGACAGTTTGCCTTCAGCTTAAAAAGAAAGTGCTGTTATATAAGTTATCTGTGAACAAACTTTTGTTGAGATGAATTATTGACTCAAGGGAAAAGAACGATGCTCAAAATTCTAAGAATCCATTATTAAAAATGCATCCGATGGCATGGCGCATAATGAGCATTTGCTTTCAATCATCTACAGGCTCCTCCAGTAAGAGACTCACCATTTCTAACGCTTTTCTACCTGCTACCAACCAGTTTCTTCATTAAGTAGCTTGCAGTATTAAATTTAATTTGAAAAACTGCCATCTGTTAGATAGTCTTGTTAGATGGATTGGTTCAGCTCCAAAAGTTGTTTCTTAGACCAGTTTTTCACTCGGATAGTGGCCTTTGGATGCCTGGATTTTTTTTCTGGATCAATAACAGAGTAAGATAACTCATTGTTAGTTTGTGAGCTCCCCTAGATTAAAAAAAGAAGATAGAAAGAGCTAAGTGAAAAATCAGAAAAACACAGCAGTATCTTGTGTTGTTTATGTTCATTTTTTATTCACAAACAGACAAAGGCCGCTTAGCCTTAACACAACTCATAATTAAACATAACAATGTGAGAAAATGACACAAACATATTAAATTCATCCAAATCTCTAAATATAGATAAGTCCTCTTTGAACTGACAGGGCAGAACCTTGTGGATCTTTTACAAGGTTCTTTCCAAGTCTCCAAACTCACCCAGGGAAGCATGGAGTTCTGAAGGAGGAGCCGTCATTAGACACTGGCCAATTGGTCAGAAACTGACTTATATCAATAGACATAACAATGTTTTTTCATTTACATTCAAGTTCTGAAAGAATTCCATGGTATTGCATATAATGTCTCACAGTTTAATCATTTAAAAGCTTCAGTTTTAAGTTAATTGGATGATTTTTTTTTCAATCATTAAACCAACCTAGACGAGTTTGTGTAAGCACAAATGTTCCTCACAATGCTAACAAGGCTTTTCAACAACAACTACCTTTATTTGCGAGGGCAGTATTTTATTTTCTAGTAGATAAAAATAGCAAAGAAGATCCCTAACTGCACCAAGCAAGTTATGATCCTAGGCATTTGCCTAGCAGTTAAGCCATTTAGACTCTTCAAGGATAATATATATATATCTTATATTGTTTATATATATATATATATATATATATATATATATATATATATATAAAACTGTTTTCTCACCCCTCGTGGGGTGGTATGTGTCATCCTCAAGCTCGGGTCCTCTACCAGAGGCCTGGGAGTTTGAGGGTTCTGCGCAGTATCTTAGCTGTTCCTAGGACTGCACTGTTCTAGACAGAGACCTCTGATGTTTTACCTGGAATCTGCTGTAGACACACTCCCAGTTTG